TGTGATCACCGTATCCTTCTCTACAAGTTGACCGGAGCAAAAAGCTAGAGAAGTCACCGCATTGGAGAGCCTCACTGCCGGTGAATTTCAGTTTTTTGTGTTTTTTAGGCCAACCGATGCCCTTTAACGTATTTTCTCACAGGGATCGATGCAAAATCAGTCGAATTTGACCGAAAATAGTAGAAAACAACCAACTCGAGGTGGACTACCGCCGTGCCGGAATTTCGAAATGGGCCAAATGGGCCCTGGGACTGATTTTGGGTTTGTTTGGAACATTCGTAGGTACTATTAGCGCGTTTCGATTCCCAGATAGAAATTCAGGAAACCTAGGGACCGCCCGTAGATGCAGTAAACAGCTTAACTTTTCGAGTGTCAAATCGAGTAAGGATCCTTCACCCTATTCTCTATCATAAAATTGAAGTCTAAATCAATAATAATATGGTATTTGTGCAAATTAAATAAATGTGCATAATTAATTACGGATTGATAATGGAGTCCGAATCAGAAATTATTCTCTGTTGATTTATATTGATTTATTTTATAGTATAAAAATATGATAATATCTGGTTTATCAATTTTATAGTTTGAATGCATGAATTGCTGTTTTACGTGACTACTGTTTGATTGAAAAATTGGGATATGCTTGTATTCCCTTATGAATGTTTGTTTGTTTGTGTGATTATGGTTGATTTAGAAAATGAAGACTAAAGGAAAATGGGAAGGTTGTATGATTTAATAAATATATGGAATGATAGCCTTACTAGATATTCTGAGAGATGATGGACGGACCGGGTACATAGGAAACTCTACTGTGGATGTTGTCTCATACCGGACGGGGTATGAAGACTTGATAATTTGGTGCTAATAGCGAATTGTGTATTGGGACGGTTTACTTTACCCTCATACCAGACGGAGTATTGAAGTTTAATAAATTGGTGCTCATACCGGACGGGGTATGAAAACGGCCCGTAATTGAGATTATTAAAGGAAAGGGTTCACGTATATCGGAGACATCTCTATGAACCCCCATAGATACTAGTAGGCTAATGAAAAGGTAACAGTTATTATTTGGTTATTTGACGATGTGTATAGATTTATGATATGTGCTATGTTGTTGTTCCGACTGATTGCATATGAAATTATGATATGTGTTGTGTTATTGACTCTATAGGTTATTTTTGGAAATCTCGTTACGGTAAGTGAACGGTAAATGATCTTATGATTGATAAATGAATTTGCTTAAATTTAGTACTCGATTAGTTGCTTTTGTTTTATACCCATATTTATTTCTGTGTTGATGATATAGTGCAATATCCTTACTGGACTAGTGTAGCTCATTTCTTATTTAACCATTTCAGATCAAGAGAACTAGGTTACAGAGCCCGATCTGCAAGAAGATTGCGAGTAGATGCTAGATATTTTCTCTTTTCTGTTTATTTACTTATTTCTTGTGTTTCTTTCAAAAGAGTGAATTTCGTAATGTTATTTAGTACTTTTAAGTTATTGTGTAAGGAATGTAAGCCTTAACCCTTTTATTTTGCTTCCACACTTAAGTTATTATTTACTTCATTTAGATTTTCGAGGTCGTTACATATCAGACGAGGTATTGAGGTTTAGTAATTTGACGCTCATATCAGACAGAGTATGGGACGGCCCGCTAATTGAGAATGTTAAAGGAAATGGTTCACGCGTAGTAAGGACATTCCTATGGACCCCCATAGATACCAACAGGTTAATGAAAATGGACGATTGTTGTTTTGATTAATTGAATATGGAATTATAATATGTGCATGTTATCGATTGCATAAGAAATCATGATAAGTGTTATGTTATTATCTCTACAGGCTGTTTTTGTAAATTTCGCTACGGTAAGTGGACGGTAAATGATTTTATTATTGATAAATGAATTTGCTTGACTAAGTATTCCATTAGTTGTTTTAATTTTTCTACCAGTCTTCATTTTTACGTCGGTGAGTAGCGTGATATTTTTATTGAGGTAGTGTAACTCATTTTTTATTTAACAATTTCAGATCAAGAGAATTAGGATCCAGAGTCCGATCTAGAAGAGGGTTGCGAGTAAGATACTAGTTTTATTTATTTTATGCTTATTTCTTTATTTTTTATTTTTCTTTTAAAATGGTCATTCTCGTATCACAATTCGATATTTTAATTTATTTTGTAAGAAATGTAAACTTTAACTATTTATTTTGTTTCCGCGCTTAATTTATAATTTATTTCTTTTTGTATTTCTAGAATCGTCACAAATGTTATATGATAATTAATTTTAGAATGATAGGAAATGTATGCTACAAATAGTTTTACTTCTTCACTAGAGATGGACATTAGGACTAGTTAACACACTCCAACCTACCTCAGATGAGGCGAAAAAAAATCCATAATTAACGTGGCATGAAGTGAGTCTGCATAGAAAGTTATGAACAAAAAAAAAAAAAAAAAAGAATATAGAACATACATGGATTTAGTGATTTACCCGCCCCTGCCTCTTCCCATTAAATAATTTAATAATTTTTTAATTTTGCTCAAATTAATTAAATTTTGATGCTGTACATTTATAATATTAGTTATGTGTAATATTTAAATATTATTTTAAAATTTTTTACTGTTTCGAATATGGGGGCAGACATGAAGTTATATTTTTATTAGCAGGGTAAATACAGAATTTTATCATAAAATAAATAGCACCTCCCTGAGTAAAAAATAAATATTTTTTACCAAAGGAGGCTTGCATACAAAGTCAAGAGTAAGAGCTCTCCAAATAACTTTGTTAGTGAAAGACTCCTTCTTAGGTATATTATTTTTAAATTTTATTTACTTTTATAATAAGACATCCTCTTTGTTCTTCATTTACATTACAAATTTGAAATCATTTTGAATAATGTTAATTAAATATTTTATAATAATTTATTGTTATATTAAACTTAAGACATTTAAGTTAGAATTAATTAAATTAAAGGTGTCAATATAATTAAATTGGGAAGGAGGCATCTTTCTTTTGAGCTTTGATAAAAAGATTCCAATAAAGTCCAAAATCACATGATGCTGTCCTTTCTTTTACTTTCTCAAAAAATGTTTCCTTTCTCAAAAAATCCAAATAAACTTAGCATCTGCCTTTCCCTTTACACTTTCATCACTAAGGTCATATTAATTAAGATATTTGCTTGATGGGTTCCCCAAAGTTGCTAAAAAATTTTAGTTTGGAATATAGGGCAAATAAAAAATTTTAGTTTAGTTTGGAAAACTTTTAAATCAAATTGAACCTAAATTCAAATTATATATATATATATATAACTATTAAATAATAATAATATATATCATATTTATTTTAAATTTTTAAAATATACATCTATCGTCTTTGTTTTCTATCTATAAGTTAACAATACCTATAAAAAAAAAATCATAATTTTATGATATTCTAATCTCTCTCCTAGCTATTAAAACCTTTTAAGTCCTCCAAGATTCCAATAACATTCCTCTTGTATTCTTTCTTCTTAGTTCCATGCAAGTAAATTACTTCAAAAAAAAAAAACATTATAGGTAATATACTAACACACTTTGAAATATTTATTCAAAAATTACGATCTTTTTTTCTTAAAAACTAACTGTGCGTTCTTGTTTATTTTCATTATCTATTTTTTATGAGTTTATATTTTATCTTGTATTATTATAGTTTAAGTTTCTCTTATCTTGTTTTAAGTTGATCTATTTTTTAGAAATTTTTTTATTATTATTAAAGCCTTTGTTATGTTTTATTATTATTTTCATCTTTTGTTTGTGAATTTGTAAAGATGACAATGACTATAGAACTTTGAAATTTACTACATACAATTAATTAAACTAAAATAGAGAAGAGATTATTTTTAAACATTATTTTATTTATACTTTTACATCATATTTAATTATATTTTATAATTAAAAATATCACTTGTAAATTTTGCTATTCCAAAATGTAAAAAATAACTACACTTATAATTTACTCTTTTTTCCGTTAAAACAAAGCACCAAAAAGAGAAACACAATTAATATCACTAATTGTTTATCTAATTGGCGTTAATTATTGATTATATTACACTCTTAGTTGTTATTTTAATAAGTTCAAGTTATGATTGTGTCGGTAAATGAATAGCAGCCTCATAATTAATTCCTACTTAAATATACAAGTAACTAAATAATAAACATTAAATTAAAAAAAAAAAAAGAAAAGAAAATCGTCGTATAAAAAGTTTTTTTTTTTGGGAGGGTCTAAAATTTTTATCCAGATAATATCATGTTTGGATAGTGTCAGTCTGAAGAAGTTTATAAATAATTATTTAAATAAAAATTCTTATGTTAATTTAAAAAATAAGATGAATATGATAAGTATGATGTTGGCATCAGTGGTGTTGGCAGCTTCGTATTATTTTGTCACCCCGAAAACGACAGCGTTTTTGTTGCTGAGGGTGACCCTATCAAAGAGGTGAAGTGCAATTAATTATTTGGGCTTTCATTTTCGAGATTTATAAAATAAATAAAATTCAGAAATAAACTAATTAAAATATACAAAAATTAGAGTTTCATTGTGCATATTATGAGGTTGAGGGAATCGCCAAATAGGTGTTTCACAATATGACAAATTAATTACATGTGAAATTGACTTTTTTTTTAATTAGAAGTTTTAAATTATTGAATATTAAATATTAATTGGAAATTAATAATATATATATATATATATTCCCACATGCTATTTATTATTATTATTATATATAATTGGAAAATTGCTATTATTATAGTGTCTACTCTTATCAGATTTCGTAACGCTAGAAAATCAAACGACAAAAAGAGCATCCAATTAAAGAATCAAATCATTAATCAATTGTATGCCCACTCCAATTACAATGATCTGGCTTCGATAATTCATGTAATACCAACTTGGCTGCCACGTGGTGAACCCCACGCTTGACTACTTCTCAGTTTTTTGCTTACGTCACCCACCGTCCAGCAGCGGAAAACACTGCTGACGTGTCAAACCCATGTGCGAAATCCTACACACCTGTTGCTTGGCTTGCGGGGCCCAAACTTCCACCGTAACCGTTGATATTTAATCACACGGCACATCAACGGTTCATTTCCACCGTTTCTGATGGGTCCCACTGTGATTTATAACTCCCAACCTTGTTTTAAAGTACTACTGAACTCTGCCACTCTCTGGTTTCTACTGACCCGACTTCTTCCTTGTTATCTTTCTCCTCATGGACTCTGTTTCTTCTGCACACCCCAAATGGCTCTTTTCCGTCATCGTACTCGTTTGTTACGCGACGGTCACCATACGTGCGGACCTCCCCGGTACGTGGGAGCTTCTTGTCCCGAACGCCGGCATTGCCTCGATGCACACGGCGGTGACGCGCTTCAACACGGTGGTTCTCCTGGACAGGACTAAAATTGGTCCATCCCGCAAGATGCTCCCCAAAGGCCATTGCCGGAGTGACAGAAAAGGGCACGACTGCTACGCTCACTCCGTTCTTTTCGACCCGCAAACCAAAGAAATCCGACCTTTGATGATCCTCACCGACACCTGGTGCTCGTCGGGACAGTTCTTGGCAGACGGGACTCTGTTGCAAACGGGTGGTGACTTGGACGGGTTTAAAAAGATTCGTATGTTTCGACCGTGCAAGGTTGGTGGGTTTTGTGATTGGGTGGAATTACAAGACGTGGAGCTGGCGAATGGGAGGTGGTACGCGACGAATCAGATACTGCCGGACGGTATGGTGATCATCGTTGGGGGAAGAGGAAGCAACACCGTCGAGTATTATCCTCCGAGGAAAGACGGTGCCGTGGTGTTCCCGTTCTTGGCTGAGACGGAGGATTCTCAGATGGATAACTTGTACCCTTACGTACACCTCCTTCCCAACGGTCACATTTTCATCTTTGCCAACAACAAGGCAGTTCTTTATGATCATCAGGAAAACATAGTAGTCCGGAATTATCCACCCTTGGATGGGGGCCCACGTAATTACCCTTCAGCAGGATCATCAGCCATGCTGGCGCTTCAAGGCGACTACTCGACCGCTGTCATTATTGTCTGCGGTGGGGCTCAGTTCGGTGCGTTCATCGAGAGGAGCACCGACACCCCAGCTCACGGTAGTTGCGGGCGCATAGTTGCCACGTCACCCGAACCGGAATGGGAAATGGAAGACATGCCTTTTGGGCGGATCATGGGCGACATGGTCATGCTCCCAACTGGGGAAGTTTTGATCATTAATGGAGCCCAAGCCGGAAGCCAAGGGTTCGAGATGGCGTCGAACCCGTGCTTACACCCGGTTCTTTATCGCCCGGATCAACCAATCGGGTTACGGTTCATGACTTTGAACCCAGGCACAGTACCCAGAATGTACCACTCAACGGCAAATCTATTGCCTGACGGGCGGGTATTACTGGCCGGAAGTAACCCACATGTTTTCTACAAATTTAACATTGAATTCCCCACCGAATTACGGGTTGAAGCTTTTTCGCCGGAATACTTGTCAGCCGATCGGGCAAATATCCGACCCGCAATTGAGGAGATTCCGGAGACGGTACGTTACGGCGAGACGTTTGATGTGCTTGTATCGGTTTTGCTGCCGGTGGTGGGGATTGTGGAGGTTAATTTGATCAATGCCCCTTTTGCCACGCATTCATTTTCACAGGGTCAAAGGCTGGTCAAACTCACCGCTACCCCATCGGTTCCTGACGGTAACGGTCGGTACAAGATCGGATGTACAGCGCCGCCTAACGGTGCGGTCGCTCCGCCGGGTTACTACATGGCTTTCGCAGTCAACCAAGGCGTCCCAAGTGTGGCACGTTGGGTACATTTAATTCCTTGATAACTAATTAAATTTATATTTTTCCTTTTACATTTGTTAAAAATAACTGCAATTGTCTAAGTGTGGATACGTGGGTAATTTGCAATTTTTTGTTTCAACATTTATCCAGTTTATAGATTAAACTGTATAGCTAACTAGCTACATATATGGGCAGCAAACACCAAATTGACAGGAAAAAAAATTAAAAAGTTTATGAATCTGAACATAATTTGCTCTTAATTTTGATCCCATGTCAATAACTAGCAAATTTTCAGTGATTCTTAATTGCAAAATAATCTAATAACCTCGAATTCAATATATATATATATATTGAAGCAGCAAAAGCAATATAAATTATTTATATAATAGAGGGAATTGGAGTATATATGATCAGGCCATGGGCCTTATCCCTGCCTCTTCATCACGCTCATAGCAATCAGCCACGGCCACTGTACTTTTCTGCACACTTTTGTAAGAATATTGCTTTGCTAAATACACATAAACCCACAAGTTTGCAGCAGTAATGGCTGCCAATAACCAGTAGAACTTGTCAAGACGACTGCTATTCAAGTCTTTCCCAAACCAACTCTGTCCGCTTTTCTCTGTGACGTGATCAATCACTATTATCAACAAACTGCTAATGAAATTTGCTGCTCCAATCACACTGAGGTAGAAGGCAATGCCTAGACTTCTCATGGAATCTGGGACTTGGTCATAGAAATACTCTTGTAATCCTACAAGGGTAAATGAATCTCCTATTCCGATGATGATGAACTGTGGAGCTAACCAGAAGACACTCATGGAGAGTGACCCTTTTGCAAGATCCTTCTCTACGACCTTGAGTCTTTTTCTCTCCACAAGAGCTGCAACAACCATGGTAGCAATTGAGAAGAGCATGCCAATGCCGATTCTCTGGAGGATTTTTATGCCTCTCTCGTTTCCTCTTGTTTTTCTTAATATGGGTACGGCGATCTTGTCGAAAATGATTACAGACACTATCATTCCAATGGCGGATAGAGAGTAAATTGAGGCTGGAGGGAGAGAGAAACCATTTACGTTCCTATCCAAGGTAGTGCCTTGCTTGATGAAGAAAGTGGAGGCTTGTGCTACACAAATTCCAAACGGTAGTGTGGCTAACCATATGGGAATCATGTTGAGAAGTAGCTTCATTTCTTCGACTTTGGTCACTGTTGCTAGCCTCCAAGAACTCGACTTCTCCGCCGAGACTTCCTCACCTTCGACAATGGCTGCTTTGTCAAGAAACCTGCAATTAAATGATGGGAAAAACAAAATTCAATGAAATTTTTTATGAACCCTATATAGAATTCTCAAAATTCAAATAAGAATTGAACTTGGGTTGGTTACTTGAGCTTCTTGGTATGAGCCAAAAGCCTCCCATGAGTCTTCTGTGACTCGGGCACTTCATATAATTGAGCAGGATTAGAAGGGAAAGGCAGATTTCTTTTGGCAATTGCAGCAACAAGAACTTGAAGCATTGGTGTTAAGGGGCTTCCAGTTGGCACTCTATAACGATAATAAGGCCTCCCGATAATGACAATAACTAGTGAGAACGCTATAGCTAAGGTTAGAATAATATCAGCAGCTCCCCAGCCGATATGATCTTGCACATAAACGATGACAGTAACACCCAGTACTAATCCACAGCAAAGACCAGAGCTCCACCAGTTGAAATAAGACATCTTCTGCTTTCTTTCCCAGGCATGATTGTCATCGAATTGATCAGCTCCAAAGCTTTCCAGTGAAGGTTTGTGGCCTCCTGTTCCAATGGAGATCAAGTATATAGCCAAGAAGAAAACCATTTCATGAACTCTCCTCGGTTCTTGGCACACTTGTGTATCACAAGCTCTTAAACTCGGTACATACCACGACATTGTCAATAATACCAAACCCTGTTTTTTAAATTTTTGTCAGCAAACTCAAATAACCTTTCGCTTGATCGAATAATTTAATTACTAGTAAGATTAAGGGTTGAGAAAATTACAACGAGGTAGATGACTGAGGAAGCAAGAACGGTGGAGAAGCGACCCAAGTAAGCGTCAGCCAAGAAGCCTCCAAGTAATGGCATCAAAGTGGTAACACCAGACCAGTAATTGACGTTTTTTGCAGCTGTTTTGAGATCCTGGTGCATTACCTTTGTAAGGTAAATGATTAAACTTGTGGCGATTCCAAAATAACTCAGTCTCTCACCGAACTCAATCGCTGCATTATAACAAAACAAATACAACGTTTTTTTTTTAATATAATTAACAACTAAACATGTTATACTTGTGTGTTTTATTTTTTAAAATATAATTCCTTCGTTGAATTAAAAATTGAAGACACCGTCGAAGTGTAGAAAGTTAAAACATCATCGATTTCCCTACTTAAGGAAACGTGCTAATCAATTAATAGTTACAGAAATCTAAGAAACAAAAAAGTAAACACCATTTGCTTTTCTAAGACATTCTCCATCAATAAACTAAATTTCGCACATCCTACATGTGCATCTCGGCATGATTTGTTGTTTGAAGGTGCCGGGGGAAACCTTCATATTTATGTATATATCTAATGTTCTCGTGATTGATCTGTACTTGTTGTATGGAACTTTTCTTGGTTGTTTGGTGGAGTTAGACTCTGTAGATACATATTTTTTGGGGTTGTATATATTGTTTTTCAATTAACAAAGTTATTTTAAAAATAAGTTAGGCTCGAATTATAAAAATTTAAATTCAAAACATCAAATTTTAAAATGAAATTTTATGTCATCCAAACTAAAGTTTTTATTTAATTTTATTACTCAATCTCTGTCTGCCCCCATGCAAAAAGCAATAGTCAAATCAGCTTTTGTCGGGATTATAGTTATGAGTCTTTGAACTCGATCACAATTTTGTCAACGTTTGTGATTGGTGTAGTGATCATCAAAAATCTCCTCCACAAATTTCAATGAAATTTTCCTATGCGTTACCCTTTTTATCATAATACAAGATGTTGAAAATTTTTAAAAGATATGATAATTTTAAATAATAATTTATTAAAAATAAGAGAAATAATAACAAAAAACTAATAAAAAAATTCAAGTTTTAATTTGTGAATATCGTAAAAAAAAAATCTTTAGGTACACGTAAATAATAATACAACTCTTAAAAATTTTAAATACATTAATCATAATTAATTTTAATTTACAAATCGCAATTATTTAAGAAAATTCAAAAGACACATATTTATAATGGTTGAAATCTAATTTATGAACCATAATTATTTAAAAATACCCATATTTATAATTTTAACTTTTTATAAGATAAAAAAACTTCATTAGTTTATAAATTATTATTTTTAACATTTTAATAAGATAAAAAATTTACTTAATTTATAAATTAGTTATTTTCAATACACTCCTCACCTCAAAAGAGAACTCTAGGAATATTAAATTGTGGTAGTTAAATTACATCTACTTTCTCCGATAATGATGTATTTTTCTCCATAGCGTGGTGGTATTGCTTGAGATTAATTTTTGAGCACGACTTTTCTCTCCCAAAAAACCATGTTAATTGCATGACACACACACCCACACACAGTGGAAATGAAAGACTAGCGAGCTGGTTAACTCGCTGTTCACAAGCAGATCCAACGAGTTACACATCAAATGTCATAAGAACTAGAAGGAAAGCGAGGAAGACAAATATTACTGGAGCATAAAGAAAGAATCAAGAACTGAAGTTTTGAGTGCATGCATGTTGTTGTTTATGTTTTGTGTGTGTGTGTGTGTGTGTGTAAATATAGATAGTAAGGTATAATGATATATAAATTGGTTACCAATGATGAAGAGTGAGGCTTTCCAGGCACCAGTGGCAGCTCTAAGAGGAGTCCTTCCTTTATAATCTACGGAAGAATCATAAACCCATTTCTCTCCATCATCAACATCCTCTCTCGCTTCATCTCTCCCTTTGCTACTCTGCTGTGTCTCCATTGATACCTAGGATTTGCTTCTGATCTTATGTGCTAATTAATCAATATGTGTGTGTGTGTGTGTGTGTGTATACACGCACTTAAATAACACTACTATATAGTGACTGGGTAGGTAGGTTGTGAGGAGTAGTATGTTAGATATGATTTGGGTATGAAGAAGCTTTCATTTGCGCCTCTTATATAAGAACCGATTTGCCTAGTTGACTCACAAATATAATTTATTTCTTTTAATTGTCAAAGACTCAAAAGGTATGTATATTTGAAATGGATATACGTATAGGAATACATAAGGAGGTTTAAGAAGTAAAAATTGAAAAATATTAATTAATTTGATAATTATAGTTCCCACTGGAGATATGCATGTCACTGTTTACTGTTGGTCCTTATTCTTAAATGGGAATGGCATCAAAGGCTACAAATTAAAAAGGTATCTGGTTTAAGAAAGTCAAATTGAGGAAGTGGGCTACAACAGAGGTTCTTATCCATCCTGGTTTTGTACGCCACCATCATCATTCACTACCAGAGAGATTGCCCGAAAATTACAAATATAAAAAAATAAATATAATTAAGACTAATGTGAATAAGCCGGAAATTGAAATCATCCTTTCTTCCACTTCCCACTTCAAGCTTATTCTTGCCATACTTAAGTACCCAGATCATATAAGTTGACTTTGATTTTATTTTCTTCAATTGGAGACACAGACACTCATATATATACATGTGTGTGTGTGTGTGCGCGCTATTAACCATGAAAACTACCATATGAAATTATTTTAACATTGCATTTGATTTAAGTTTTAATTTGATGGAATAGAAATCTAAATACAATATTGTTGTGAAATCGGTCCCTAAATCATGTACAATCACAAACGAAATAAAAGTAAAAAAAATAATATAAGATTTTACGTAATTCGGCAGTGTGCTTATATTCACAGACAAAACCAATAAGAAAATATTTCATTATGATCAAAAGAGAATATATCACTCATAGGTTAGTAAACTTATATATAAGGAGACTACTAGGGTTTTTTAAGTCTCCAGAATATATATAAAATTAATCTGCAAGATAATTATAAAAATACTTTCATAATTAAAATCATTAGAATTCAAGTCACATCAACAAATTTTGCCCTTAGCTTGAATTCTTTTTATCATCAAAGCAACTAACCTTTTTGTCACACCGTCTTGCCAACATTCCCCGACTGGGGCGCTATTAAATATCACATAGTACAACCAAGTTTAGGTCACGCTTAAATTTATTATCTGATCCTTGAACAAAGTGACATCTGCCACTAAGTTTTTCACATACAACACTTATCTTATCTGCATCTGAATTCCCTGGTTCCTATAAATTAACTACCCCTGCAAATGACAAGTTATATGCAACCAGATTCTCATACCTTTGTAGTTGTCTAATCTGTCTTCTCTTCCTACTTATTGTAACATATATGGTTGTTGTTGATCAGGTGCACCATCACCTTCTTGATTAAGATCTTGCACTTCATTTCCTGAACCATTGGGCTGAACTTCTAACTTTAATTGTTCTCTGACACCGTGATTTGATTCTGCTATTGCTTTGCCTTTCTGACTGTTTAGTGAAGTAGACTCATTAAATGTCACATCTCTGCTGATAATCAACCATGGAGACTTGGGATTATTACACCACATCCTGTAGCCTTTCACTCCAGATACATAAGCTAGAAATATACATTTTTTTGTCATCGGGTCAAGTTTACCATTCATAACATGAGCATAAGTAGGACAACCAATACTCTCAACGGAGAGTAATCAACAGGTGACCCCAACCATACCTCAAAAGGAGTTTTACCTTCAACAGTTGTAGATAGAGATCTGTTAACTAAGAAACTAACAGTGTTCACAGCCTTAACCCAAAATTCATGTCCCAAGCTGTAGCGCCCGGAAAGGGGCCGAAAAAAAAAAAAAAGCCACGTCGGCAACCACATCAGCAGGCCCGGTCAGCAGTCCCGGCCAACCGGGACCTGCCACGTGGCAAGACCATGTCGTTCCGGAACGGGCCACGTTGGCGATCCGCGTAGGCGCGATCGGACGGCCCAGATCAAGCGTGCGATCGGACGGCCCAGATGAAATCGCACGGACGGCCCAGATTCAATCAAAAACGGACGGCCCATATTAAAACAAAATGGACGGCTGAGATCAAAAGGCAAAGGGTTATAAATAGAACCCCCACACCAGACCACAAACCCTAGCCACCTGCCGCTCGCCGGAGAAGACGAACCAGAAGCCGGACGCCGCCACCCGCCGCCGCACCGGAGAAATTTCTGACCGCCGATCGAGGTAAATTTCGTACCCCCGACTCGTTTTTCTACGCTGATTCCTCCTGTGGCCAAATCGGAGCCGAAATCCCGGCCAAACGGCCGGAATACATGGCCGAAGCCCAGCGGCGCCGCCGCGCCCCTTCTCGGTTTTTGCCTCCGATGAGGCCCTTCCCGGCCTCCGTTTGATGCAATTTTTATATCACCATGATCACCATTCTTTTCTCTACAGGTTGACCGGAGCCGAATCACCAAAACACGAACCTCGCCGGAGAGCCGCCGCACCCGAGAGCGCCGCCACCGGTAAGGGTTGTTTTCTCGCAAGGACCGATGCGAGTGTGGCCGAATTCGGCCAGAAACGGCCGAAAACAGCCAGCCCGAGGCGAATCGCCGCCGCCAGCGGCGGTGCCGTCGCCGGAGCACGGTGGAGCCGCCGTGCCGGAGTTGCGATATTGGCCGAAAGGGGCCCTGGGCCTAATTTGGGATTTTTTTGGAACACGTGCAGGTACCAGTAGTGCGTTTCAGTTCCCCGAGAAAAATTCAGGAAAAATTAGGGACAGCCTGTAGGCGCACTATGAAGCCGTGTTCGGACCCCGAAACGTGTAATGACCCCTCACCTTATTTCCTATCACGGTTTTAAAGTTCAGTAAATGATAAAACGGTATTTCATGAATCAACGAATGTTTGAAATTGCTTAAGGTCGCTAATGGAGCCCAAGTCTAGTGTATTTGTCGGTTAACTGTTATTTGGCCTGTTTTACAGTTTTAAATGCAGCATGAGGTTCGATGTTTTCATTTTATAGTTTCGTGTGCATATTTTACTGTTTTATTGATTATGGATTAAATGACTGGGATATTGATGCTGTATGTTGTCTGTTTAGCATAAATACTGTTTGCTTGCTTGTATGTGGATTAATGATGCTGACTGAGGAAAAGAGAATGAAAAATTATGTAAATGGGTAATGGTATAATGTGGTCAGCCTGACTAGATATCCTGGGAGATGGTGGACGGACCGGGTCC